TTTTTTTTTTTTTTTCGCATATCGTCCTATGGCAACACTTGCGAGCATGCTTACGCGCCCCTTGTACTGTCCTGTTGTGCCTGGGGGTCCAATTTGGGTATGGCCAGTCTACAAATTCTTTTTTTTTCTTGGCGCCCTACTTTAGCGCTTACGCCACATTTTTGGCCGCCCACCTGGTACACGTTCTTTTTCTAAATGCTAAAAGACACAGTCTTGGTCTTAACCTAAACTTAACAGCCCGGCGCTCCAAGGAATACCCGTAACTTCTGAGCCCAGACTTTGAGCTCTGGCAGCGAGCCCTAAAACTAACTGCTTTCAATGAACATCCAAGCATGTTGAAGATTGTTGCCCGAAACTCTTAACCAAGAAACGAGAAGGTGCGCACGCAGGCATTTTCAAGATTGTAGCGGGCTTACTTGCTATGAATGATTTGCCATGCTGCTGTCAGATGCGCGCCGCTGTTCTCACTAGCACCAACATTCGTTCCAGGTCCTTCCCTGGGTGTGTAGAAGTGTTGTAACCATTCGAGGCCTTGATCGTGTTCCCGGTTGACAGGGTTAATGTGAACCAGAATTCTCTGCAACACGATTTAGTTTCTAGAGCAGCACTGAATGTCTCCCCAAGTCTTAACTCTTCGCTACAATTTGCAGGGCATAAGCCATAGATAGTGAAAGGTTTTGCTATTTGCACAGAACTCCAAAAGGTGTTGAGCTCACCAGCGCTCAATGCAGAGACACTTCCGCCTCATTCTCAGAAGGGGGGTTCATTTGCATGAGAGACTTAGGGGTTTGGGGCTTCTGAGTTTCCAAAGACCCGGGACTTCTTATGGGGCTCTGTATGCAAGATTCCGTCATGCTGTGGCGGGTTTCTCATCTTGTTGACAGCCATATAGGAGTTGCAAGGACGTGGTCCCCCCTGTCTTATCTGCAGTGTAAACTATCATGCTTCCCCCCTAAACCCTACACCTCAAACTCTAAACCCTAAACCCCAAGCCCCAAACTGAAAACCTTAAACCCTTACCTTGAACCCCAAAACCTGTGCACGAGGCTTTGGAGGCTTTTGGCTCTAGGAAGACCTGTAATACTATCATTCGGATTCAGGGGTTAGGCCCTTGAGGCTTGTAGTATTGGGAGTTAGCGAGTTTCGACTGGGGATGTATAAGTATCATTAAGCATGGTCATGATGTCTGCACCATTCTACCCTGTGTAGAATGGATTTACGACAAACCGACATGAGTAGTATTCTATTTGGGGGTTTTATGGTACCCAATATAGAGTACGATTATATCCTCCTTTTGGGTAAAGCATTTTCTAAAGCCCTAAACCCTAAACTCTAGGTTCAACCACCAAAAAAACGCCGCTCGCATGTTGGCCAAAAGGTGGAAGCGCAAATGTTCCGGAATCTTTCTGCAGAGCTTCTTAACAGCGGGAGAGGGGCAAGAGTTCAAGGATCTAGGGTACCCCAGACTCATGATTGATAAATACCCCCTCCCATTGATAGGGATTATAATGGGAATCTTAATATTAAGGCCCTTAAAAGGAGGGGATTTATTCATCATGGGTCTACAAGGGAATCACCCCGAACAGGGCCAACGTAATGTGTAAGCCTGACTAACTACCAGTGCTATTGTCCCGGGTTCCTTGTACAATTTTGGTTTGGGGCACGCCAAATGGACCTTTGAAATTTGTATAGGTCATTATTTAGGTGCTACATTGCTGTTGTGCTAGGTGAGCTTGTCAAAAGCTTTTCGGAGAATTAGATTACAGGAGCTTCGCAGCGTCTTGGTTCAGGACTTCATTCTGACCTTATTGCTTTTAATAATTGACATTGTTACGGTTACCATTGCTGTTGATGAGGTTTAGTTTTAGGTCAGTGCTTTGCTAGCTGCCGTAGGAAGACCAGAGATACATCAACTTCTTCCCCAAAGCCCCCCTCTACCTTGACTTATGCGTAAGCACTGTATATCCAAACCTTCCTCCTAAGCAGTGACATTATTACACACTAGCCTCGTCTTTGTGTGCATTACAGAATGATGGTAGTGCGAATAGTAATAGCATTCGCAGTAGTAGTGATAATCGAAGTAATAGTATTTACACTTGACCTTATCCGCCGGGCATGCCTTGATTTAAGCCCCTGTACCCGAAGCAGTTGTGTCCTTTCATGCAGCAGCTGCGAAAATGGGGATCATACTTATCCTCACTGAGACCCCAAACTCTTCGCCGCAACTCCCAATTCCAAACTCTGACCTGTCAACCCAAAACCCTCAACTCCAAAAATGAAATCCTTGACCTTACCCAGACCCCCCCCCAACTCTTCGATTGGGTCTGTGTAGTTTTTATATGTGGGGCATCGGGGCCTCTATAGGTGTACCTTAAACCCACCACCCAAAACTTCAAGCCATAAGCCCTTAACCTCCACCCCTAAACCCGAAGCCATGAACCCTAAATTCCCAAACCCTAAACCTTAAATCCTCATATGAGCTATAATCTAAACTCCTAGTATCCCCCTTAATAAGCCCTATAGTAGTCCCTATATATTCCCCTCTATACCCCCCTTTAAGGAGTTTAGACTATAGCTCATATAATCCTTCAAACCCTCAGGTACGAGGCCCAGGAGCCCTCCAGCCCGCTACACGCGGCCGTCGTGGGCGCTGAAACCTTGGAGTCCGAGCCTCATCTTTGTAGTATTCTAGTTGGGTTCAGGGATGAAGGTTTAGGGTTTAGGTTTAAGGGTTTAGGGATTAGGGTTTGGGTTTTAGGGTTTAGGGATTAGGGTTTAGGGATTAGGGTTTAGGGATTAGGCTTTTGGGTTGAGGGTTTAGGGTTTAGTCAGGGTTTAGGGTTCGGGGTATTGGGGGTATTACAGGGAACTTGAGGTCAGGTGAAGGGTTTAGGGTTGACTGAGTACAGGGATTAAGCTTTGTGATTTCGGGGCTTGCGTGTAATCGTTCACCCCACTATTCTTCATACCTCAACCCCTGCCTTCTCAAGGAACTGAATAAGCCGGACTCTCCAAGCTAGTCCCGAAACCCCAGACACTAAACCCTAAATCCCTCCGACCCTGAAATCCAAAAGATTAAACCTTTAAGAGCAGCCTGGTTGCAGTGCATGTAGCCATCGCTTGCATGGCTGATAGTCACCTTTCCCGAAGCTCATCCCATGTTTGAGGGTATAGGGCATAGGGTGTCATTATTCTTCTTGCATGTGCCTTACGAACGCTCCCCTGTTCCTATCTTGTTCTCACATCACATTGGCTACATTCTACATGAACATTGTTTATTGGTCTTATACAAGCATAACAATTGTTCGGTGCACTTAAGCCAATCAATTTTCCATGTTGCAGAGTATATGCATAGTTTTATTTGTCGTGCATATACCCCGTCATAGATTCCTGTGGGGCGGGGCAGGGTGATCTACTTGCCGCCTTCTGCCTGCGTTGGACCTGCATCTACTCTGTCAACTCAAAGCATGAGTCTCTTCATACTAGCATGAAATCCCAACCACTGCTGTGTCAAAACGCTTGTCCTTTTACAGGGGGCCTAAAGTAGGGGCCACAGTAATTAGGCAAGGGGTTTTGGAGTACAGTATTCTAGAATCGTAGGAGGAACTAGACCCTAAACCCTAACAGCCTAAAACCAAAGCTTCTACAGTTACAGTATCCTGCTCTTCCCTGCGGGCTTTAGGAGTCGCGAAAATGCACTTGCTGCTTTGGCCCCTACCCATGTGGGAATTTCTTAGAGTTAGCCCTTCAGTTAGGGTTTAGGGTTACTTCCAAGTGAGCTAGAGTCTAAGCTCCTTAAAGCAGGTTATGAAGGGGATTATAAAGGGTTATCAAGAGGGATGCTAGGATTTTAGACTATAGCCCATGTGTTGCGAGTTAAGCCAGGTACGCGGTGCCAACTCCTCCGAGGGAGACTGTTGCGACTCGGGCACCGTTCAGTGGGAGGGTTCTGTAGCACCTAGACAGTAAGGTCCAAACCCCAAACCCTAAACTCGTAGTCTGAATATGTGTATATTGATACATATATAACAATATGGTATATATATATATATGTATATATACAAGGTTTGGAGTGCAGCTGTTTCAAGGCAGTACTGACCATGGCCGAAGTAGGCACAACAAGATAGTCACGTCCAGCCTCCGTGAATCAGGATTCTGCAAGTCTTCGTTCGTGGCAGGTTTCAGCTCGTCGTGCTCTTCCGTGTTTTTCTCGTTTCGACCCTGCTCTCCGGCATCATGTTTTTAAGGGGGTAGCTGTTGACATGCTCCTGTGGGTTTACCTTGCCCAGAACCAAGCACTAGAGTTCAGGGCCCAGGGTTCGGTTCCAGACTTGTATCCGTGAGGATCTGGATAAAAAGTACCCTTAGAACCTCGTGCCCATATACTTGATGTTGTGGCTGACTCGAGTGTCTCGCAACATTGGAAGGGGAACCTCTCGGCACTTGCAGCATGTGGCGCGCCGTTTTAGCGGTTCCTGGTATTTCCTCCGAGATCTTATACATTTGTAGGTTCATGGGGCTGAAAAATCCTAATCCCCAAATACCTTCGACTCTGAACCCCTTACACGCTAGGCGCAGTTTAGAGGCAAATCATTTGCAAGTCGGAAGCCCAGGGAAAGAAAGCAGCTTTCGTGGAGACATTGCCGCTGCCGCCTCAATTTCCTGGGCATAATTTCAGGGGCTTCAAGGTTGATTGCAGGCAAGCCTTACATATATTATAGCATATTCTATTATATTATAGTATGTTATAGTATATTATAGTATATTATGGTATATTATGATACCTTATGGTATTTTTGGTGCTTAAAGTTTCGGGTTTCGGCAATTCGGGGGCATTTGGGATTGAGGGTTTGGGGATGTTTGGGGTATAGGGTTGGGTTTAGGTTTGGCACTTCGAGGGCAGCACCGCTGCGACAAGTTACATGACAGTGGAGTACTCCTCTCCCCCATAAGTAACCTCCCACGCCCCAAAAACCCTAAACCCTAAACCAATATCCCATCAATATAAGAAGCGGAATGTTTATTGTTAGGAGGATGGGGTGTCGCTCATAATGGGGTGAGCAGGGATGGGCACTAGAAAAGCGGGGCTCAGGGTAGTGCTGAGCTAGTGGAAGCGAAGCCCATGAAACTGAGCGAGGACCGAGATCTAGTTGATTTCTTGCCTACTTGGAGGTTCCGATTAATTTTAACCCAAATATAATTCTGGCAATTATCCGATATCTAACCTCGTAGTAAGTGCGCTGACTCTCCAGGTATGAGGGTTGTTCCCAAAATTATGGGCATCTTTTCGCTATAGTTTATGTGACGGCCTACCAGAATTCGGTCCAAGGTCATTTACTTGATTGTGGAAATCTTGCACCACATAAGGTCCCCAGAGTACTGTACTCACTTGTTCTTTAGGGACCATAGGTGGTGCAGGATTTCGTCCATCAACATATTCACGGACATCCAGATCAGCCAGCATACAGATGAAAAATCCTTGAACTGCGCAAGGGTCAGTCTCGATGCGCTTATCTGATGTTAAGTCTTGACATAGCTTCGGCTGTCTGGAAACCAGTGAAGAAAGAACCCTAGGCTGCAAAACCGGGCAAAACCTCTCCTTTTGAGTGCTTGGGAATAATATGAAAGTCCAACATATTTTCTTTACCATCCTCATATTAACCTACAGTAGAACACACCCCAACATCCTCTTTTAATTGAGCCTCCTTGTGATCTTCGAAGAGTATAGACACCCAAAGCCACCCTTTTAATGAGGGCCTCTATAAAGGTTACAACGCATAGGGAGACCCTAATATAGACGCCAACATACTGTCGTCCTTATTCTAGAGACCCTGGAGAAGGGACTCCCAATTCTCGGAAACCCCAATCCCTATAAACCTCTGAGTGATCCCGGTTTCCATTCCATGTTGTTTTCCACTTATTATTTTCCAGTATTGGAGTCATAACCCGTTACTTAAACCTTATATATATATATAAAAACATGCTACAGATATATGTATATATATATGTATATATATATGTATATCTACATATATATATATATATCTGTATATATATATATAGATAGATACATATACATACATATATATATATATCCTTGTTTACCTTATAACAGCTTCATTTAGCCCCCAAAAAGCCTTACATTCCCGTTATAAATCTTTACATAACGTCTCGTAAATGCGTATTCTAAGCCCTATATAATCCGAAGCCCTGAGCCCTACGCAATCCCTAAACCCGACACTTTTACATAGTCTACAATAAAATGCGCACCCCGTCTTAGCTGAGGCCCCTTAGAAACCTCAGATATGTATATATATATGTGTACATATATATATATGTATATATATGATATATATATATGTATAATATATATATATATTTATACATACGCATGTATCGTATGTATGGCATAGTAAGATTCTCCAAGGTTTAAAACATGTACCCCAAGAGTCATCTGTAGTATAATCTCTCCAGAATCCCTTCAGACCCCACATGCCCCTATATATCCCTAGTAATCTGTACCCTAAACCCTAAACCCCCAAAAGCCTTGTTCTGACCGAGGTACGGTCTGCCTGAGGAGCTTCACCCTTCGTTCATCGAAGTCCCCGGGGCCCGGTGCCACAGTTCGCAGGGGTTCTAAAAGAGTTCAGGGTCTAAGGCTTAGGGATTTAGGGTTAAGGGTTTAGGGTATAGGGGATACATACTCTATGGCTTCATAGGGGATATGTAAGGCTTTCTAACAATTAGATGGAGCTTTATACGAGATACATAGGGATTCTATAGGAGTGACATGGGGTTAAGGGGATAACCCCAATAATGGAGAATAAAATGGAAAGGAAACTTGGAACATGGAATGGTTCAAGGTAGGTGAATGAAGGAGTTGAAGGAATGGTGGACTTCGGGCTTGGGGCATAGTGTATAGTTTACAGTTTAACGTTTGAGGTTCAAGGTTTCGGGTGGAAGAATGGCTGTTCAGAGTGTACAGACTATGGGCTCCTTTGTGGGTTTGCAAAGGCTTTGCAGGTTCTCCAAATCATGACTTTCTCTTGATGGCCCTTTGACTTGCGATCTGAAACTCTCGGGGGTGCATCATAGAGCCTGGCTATGATACATATGCTGCGATCAAAAACGTCCCCAACGACGTTGTTTGAAACCCCTGAACCCTTCAAAGCCCCCCCCAAAAGTCTGGAAATGTCAAGCATCAAGCCCCGAGCCCGAAACCCTAAGCCAAAAATCTCAACCTCAGATGAGCCATAATCTAAATTGCCTAAAGAGGGCTATACAGGGGATTATGTAGGGGACTACTCGCTGGCAACGCAGGACATGGACTTTTGTTCGCGACTCTGATCTGATCTGATCTGTAGGGGAACCCTGCACCCTAGATCCCTAAACCCTAAACCCTAAATCCCTAAACCCTAAACGCTATTAACGGGGCTGCTAGGAGTTTAGACTATGGCTCAAATGCAGGGAGCGGAAGTTGGGTTTTCAGGCGAGGGCAGATTATTGCTCTCATTATTTTTGTTACTCTTATTTTTTAGGTTTTAGGGTTTAGGGTACTCTTAGTACTATTATTATTATTAGTATTATTGTTACTCTTATTACTACTGCTACCCTTATTACTATTGTTACTCTCATTATTTTTGCTACTACTATTACTATTATGTTTATTGTCACTATCATTACTCTTATTCCCCTTATTAGTATTTACCTTTAGTATTATTACTCTTCGTACTATTACTAGTATTACTAGTCCTGAGCAAGTTAGCTCTCCATGAAGAGTTTATGCCTATTGCTTCTGAGGATGCCACCGCAAAAAGCACAACCCGAACGTCCCCCCCCCAAGTGAGCTAGCGTCTAAACTCTTAGTATCCCCCTTAATGATTCTTCTGGTAATCCCCTACATAATTGAACCCCCTTGAAGGAGTGTAGACTATGGCCCAGCTGTAATCAACACCTGGGGGTTTGGGAATTCCAAGGTTTTCTGCTTCGTTACTATGTTCCCGGAAGCCTTAAACCACGCTTTCAGCTGGTGGGAAAGCCACATTTTTTAATTTTCTACAGTAGGCCCTTCACACCAAAATCAAACACCGTGAGGCCTAATGTGAAAGAAGTTTCTCAACATATATATATATATATGTATGTGTGCATGTTCTTTTATGGTGAATATGTGATGTCAGGGCCGTGGGTGTGTTTGATATTAGGGAGTGGGGGTGAGCAAGATATTCCACAAGCCCGACCACAGAACTTTCACCCCCACACCCCCAAAACCTGAAACTCTAAACCCAAAACCCCTAAAACCTGAAACTCTAAACCCTAAACCCCAAATCTTGAAACCCTTAAACCCTAAAACCTTAAACCTTACACCCTTAAACCCTAAAACCTTAAACCCTAAACACTTAAACCCTAAAACCTTAAACCCTAAATCCTACACCCCTAAAATCTCCAATCGAGACCCCGAGGTTCCGCAGCCAGTTGCCACACCGGTCCGCAAGCGCTCTCAAGGCCTGGGCTGAAGATCCACTCATGATTCCTATTATTACTACTACTATCATATATTCTTACCGCGAATATCATTACTACTATGATTACAACTATTATTACTACGATAATTATTACAACTCTTTCAGGGTTTTGGCCTCTGGGGATGTTTGAGAGAGTGCTCGCAGGCCTCAAGCCTAATGCCTGCCACCCTGACCCGGAAACGAAAAACAGCCTTACGGCCAAACGCTTATAGCTAAAACAGTTGGTATAAAGCCATGAAGCCTTGGCAGACGTTTGAAGATTGCGCCCAGGTTCCAAACACGGCTTTGTCCCACAGTTTTTTGATAGATACTTGGCTGCCTACCTAAACCCTAAACCCTAAACCCAAAGCCTATTCAACTCTCCATCACAACCTAGTGGAACCCGGCAGAAGCCCGAAGCGCTGGTAAAATCCGGAAACCCATGGCCAACCAGGCTCCAATACTTTGATCTTGCCTCTTGTTGCTGGGATATTAGTAGTAACAATAGTAATAATAATAGTAGTAGTAATATTAGTAGTAATAATAGCAATAGTAAGAATAAAAGGAGTAATATGTGTTTCTATAGGGCGTGAGCAGTTACGCGCTAGTATTCCTTTCCTTCATTCCGAACCGACAATACGCAAGTGAGCTATAGTCGAAACTCCTAGTATCCCCCTTTTTAACCCCTATAATACTTCCCTATAAATTCCCTATAGAACCCGTCTGAACCCTAAACCTTATATAGCCCCCTTTAAGGAGTTTAGACCGTATCTCATGTGGTGTAGGCGGAGCAGCTTCCCCTTGCTTGCTTCAAGAGGCCCGCCTGCAGGCAGGATTAGGGTTTAGGGTTTGAGGGTTTCGTTTTAGGGTAGGAGCACAGTAAGGGTCCAAAAGCTGGAACATGAACATGGGATGATTGATGGTATTATTCCCCGGCCTAGGTCTTGGGGTGGGCGGCTAACTTCGGCTTAGGGTTCAACGTTTAAGGTGCGTTCGGGGACCTGAACTAGACCTCAACATGATTTTGGCAAATTATTCAGGCCCCTACATGACGTAGTCTTACAGAAGCCCTACATAGACCAAGCTTGCATTTTATTTTCCAGTTTCTTTCCGTTTTGTTTCTCCGCGATTGCCAAATATTTAGGCCGCTAAGCCCTGCCACCTTATAGTAGCCAATCATAGTACAGCGCCGCGAGAAGTATCATAGGTCCTCCTACTATCCCCTCACCACTAGGTTCCCTGGGTTAGGGATAACCCTACTTAGGTGGGAACTCTGGGGTAGTATGGGGGGTAGCAGGAGCGCTTGAATCATTTGGGTGGTTGTCCAAACAAGAATCAGAGGGTCCCTGTTAGGGATGACAAGCTTGTTTGAGCAGATTCCATTTCTATCAGGACCAAGCTTCCTTCTTCTTTTGCACATTCGCATGCTATTCGGCCAGCTTTGATGCCAAAACCCTGTTCAAAGGATCCCTGATATTAGTCCCTGACATGAGTTTCGCGAATTAAGGGTTGCCGGAAGATTATCAGTCTCCTTGTCACGGGATTCACAAACACGCACATGATCCAAAACAAGGTGCCTTGTCACATTCCTGTGATTTGAAACCACAGCCCTTCCCAGAGATTCCTTTGTGCAGCTGCCAACTTTTTAGCTAAAAAACGTGTCGCCCCTCCCACACACTGACCATCACTGTTTTTCATGGCCGCAAGAATTGTCATGGGACACCCGCACAGTCCGTCGTAGCCAATGTATGCTCAACCAATGCCTAAGAATACCTGAATACCCATGTCGTGAGAAGCGAAAAGATGATGGTCGTCATTTTGCCTTGAGCCATTGCTGTAGGAGCGGGGGCCCGAAACCAAAAGAATCGGCAACCTAGCGCAATCATCATGGTCATCCTTCCGAAGTAGAGCTTTGTCTGAAACCTTGGGTGCTTCGATCCCCAAGTGCCGTACACATATAGCCCTGCATCCAACTTAGATGGACGGGGAAGTCGCTAGCATGTTAGCACCTGTGGTAGTTATGAAGTTGTCATAGGGTTACGATGGCAGATCTATATTTGTATCTGTGTATGCATATCGACCTGTTTGGCTCGGAGCACTGGGCCCTGCGCCCTGGGTTCCTTATCTGTCCAGACCCAAAGATTCGAAAACCTTAGATCCTAAACCCTAAACCCTATTATACTATAGTAGTTTCCAGGTTCTGTTCCATTATCCCTATGTAAGCCCCAATATATACCCCATAATCTTACTCAAACCCCATGGAAATTAAGCATGTGTCCAACCCAGCACTGCTCATTGGGTCCTGATTCAGACCCACCTTGGAGCCACACAGGGATAATGGAAAGTAAAATGGAAACTATTAATATTGTAATAGGGTATATGTTGGGGTATATGGGGATCTTATTAGAATATTATTTAGAGATATTACTATAGTATTAGCGTTATTTGGGGTTTTATAGGGATAAAGGAAAATAAGTGGAAACTACCTTAGGGTTTAGGGTTTTAAGTATGTACAGTGCGTTCTAAAGTTCATGGTGCCAGGAAGGCGCTGTGCCCACTGGAGAGACAGGTTCGTCGTGAGCGCTGGTGAATCATCACACAGTTTAGGGCGACCTTCTTTTCTTTTCAGAATCTTCCCTACAAAGTACGGTAGGGAGCCTTGCAGGGTGGACCTCCGCAATCTCTTTCTCATCTCTACATATCACCTGGGCGCTTGAAGGTTTTCTCTTTGAGAGCTGCCATGTCATGATGCCTCTGATCTATGAGCCTGTAGTCTATCATAAAGCAGGGTTTCCGGAAGCTAGCATAAAGACCCCTGTAGGCCCGTCCTTTGAGAATGACAGCAATCTTTACAGGACTTATTCCAGGGCTCCTAGACCTTAAACCCTAATCCCTAAACCCTAGGCAAACTTTTGACAGCGACTTGGGGCCATCGTTCTGCACATGCTAGGCGGTGGTCCCCCCTCACAAACCGGAAAAGGCCCTACACCCTAAATCCTAAACCCCTTGTCAGTTGCGGGGTAGGGTACGTAGTAGGGTTCAGGGATCGGCTGTGGCGTTCAAACCTGATTCAACTAGATACTGAGGCAGCTCCGGGTTAAGGTTCTAAAGTTCAGGGTTTAGGGTGCAGGGTTTACGGCATTTGGGGTATTTAGACATTCGGGGTATTCGGGTTTTTTGGGTATTTAGGGTGTTTAGGTTTCAGGGTTTTGTGTGTTCCGATGGCCATGGTTTTGCGCCGCCAAGTCCTGTGGACGTTTGTTTTTTTTAGGGTTTAGGGTCTCAAGAAGCGGAACCTAGGTAGGGAAAAACCCAACTGATAACCAGGTAAAGTATACCAGCCCAGCCCCTGCTCATAGAAACCACTATAGAACCCTTTTTACATTCCATTTTCCATTTGATTATCCAGTTTACTGATGTAATGAAAGTAGGCCCCACCCCAAACCCCAAGCCCTGCACATCCCGTACAACCCCTTTGAAGTCATGTCATTCTCCTGCAAGCCTGACTAAGACGCCTATTTAGAGTAGAAGCCCCCAGCTGGACTCGCCAGGCCGCTCCGCACCGCCCAGCAAAGCTCGACGACGGGCCGGCCAAAGTGCTGAAGAGGCATGGTCACTTGTAGATTTGGGGCACTGCCCCCACCCATGAACAATGGGGTATAATATTTATAAGCCATATACATATACGTATATGTATATATAGCCCTTAATATAACACCTATTATAGACCGGTAATGGGTGGGGTCAGGACTCGGTGTAGATTGCAGCTTCGGGTTTGGAGGAGGGCCTAGGGCTGTGGTTTAGGGTTTATGATTGTGGTTCAGAGTTCAAGTTTGGGGACTTTGGATTCAAGATGTGAGGTAACTCCAAGGACCCTGAGGACAGATAGGGATTATTCTAGGTCCACTTTTTTTTTGGGGGTTTAACAGGGATTGTTTCGAGACATTCCTCTGTAAGTATTTTTTTGGTCGGAGCCACCTTGAGACAGACAGAGTCAGCAAGCAAGAAGTCGTGGTTAGCAGCAAACGACATGGACCAGCCAAAGCTTTACTCTAATTTCAAAACCATGGGTCCTGGTATGCACCCTGAACCCTGGGATCTTATATACCTATTATATGCCCATCTGTACCCTTAAGGGTCCCTAGAATCTTCCTTAAAGGGCTGTGGATGTAATAGCTCATATGGAGGTGATCTGGCTTTGCAGGGCCTTTTACAGTTCAGAGTTCTGTTCACAGCTCTTGTGCGACAGGTTAAGAATTAGTTTTGTCTTGATGCCCAGTTTGACAGGCAACCCGTGCTGTTGCCAGGCTCTTCAACAGACCTTGGTTCAACTTTTGGCACTCAATTGAAAGTCCGATTTCCTTCCTCCCTGTGGAAACCGATGTCTCTTGTCAACATCCTCGAAGCCATGGAAACTACGGTCAATATTAGCCTTTTTAAGGGGCCCTGAACTGTGCATAGGGGCGCCTCTGGAGGTTTAGTATAGTCTCTCGTTTAGTCCCTCATAAGTCGCCCATGTCCATGAAATTATGTTGGCAATATTGAATGTAGCTCCAATACAAGGATTGACCCAATCGGCAATCGCCACGGGCAGATGAAGCATCGGGGGTCCTCGTGCTTTTTCTTGAGTAGCTCTGTTCCCTTCGCTGTCCAAAAGCTGCCCCCTAAACCCTCAACCTTAAACCTTAAACCCTAAACCCTAAACCTTAAACCCTAAACCCTAAACCCTCTAGTCCTTGGGGTTTCAGGGTTTAGGATAAAGCATCCTAAGCCCTCAGTCCTAGATGTCAAGGTCTGACACTTTAAGCCCTAAACTGCCCTTTGGCTAGCTAGTAGGAATGAGGGAATGGATCCTTATAGCAGTCCCTATATAATCCATTATGGTAGTTTCCATTTTCTGTTCCATTCCTTCATTCCCAGGTAATCAAGGGCCAGTAAACCCAAACCCTCATGACCTAAATAGTAGTTTCCATTTTCTTTTATCCCTATAATCCTATAACCCCAATATATAACCCTTATATAACCCCAATATATAGCCCGTGTATAACCCTCATACAACCCTCATAAAACCCCTACATGACCCTTACATAACACCCCTAAACCCTAAACCCTAAATCCTATACCCTAATCCTTAATCCCTAAGCCCTAAACCGTATCCCTAAACCTTCAACCCTAAACCCTTAACCCTAATCCCTAAACCCTAATCCCTAAACCCTAAACAGATCATGCGCAGCAGCGTTGCATCTGAAGGACTCCAAGTGGCTGGTGCCTGCCACAGAGCATCCCGATGCTTGGGTTTAGGGTTCAGGGGTTTAGGGTTTAGGGGTTTAGGGGTTTAGGGTTTAGGGTTTAGGGATAATATGGGGATAATACAGGGATAACATAGGGATGATAAAGGGGATGATATAGGGGATCTATGGGGGTTATATCGAGATAATGTAAAAGAAAATGGAAACTGCTATAATGGGGGACTTCATTTCAGCTATATTTTCTTGCTTCTTTCGCCATTAAGATGTTGTTCTTGTATGATGTAGGGGCTTACACAATTACAATTTTGTTGTATGCTGGATTCTGTGTATACGTATGGTATAGGACGCTTCAAGCAGACCCTGAGTCAACTGTAACTGAGCTTTAAGCTTTCCTAACAGGTAGCTGGAGGAACAAAGTCCTCCCTAAAATGTTGGAAAATATCAGCTCCTATAATTCCTCATACAATCCCAGTTTCCATGTTCTTATCCATTTGCTTTTCCAGTGTTTTATTCCAGTCGGTCCTGAAACCAGAACTCTAGCAGTCCTGCCTAGGGTTTAGGGTTTAAGGTTTAGGGTTTAGGGTCCAGGCCTAAACCCTCAACCCTAAACTCTAAACCTTAAACCCTGCAGTCAGCAAGCCCTTCACCTGAAAGCTCAGTCTGTCATATGCATTTTTTATATGTACTCCTACGTATACAATTCGTACTGTGTGTATTTTACATACATATGTAAACATATATATATATATGTATATATATATAGATATATGTATATATATATCCACAGAAGATTCTTTATTCGCCTATATACTGGCAATGTTCTAAAGACTCTCACGCTCGCGCACTTTTGAGGGTTTGGGCTTCACGGCATCAAGGTTTAGGCTTCCGGGGATGCAGGATTATTATGTTATTCTTTCTATGGTTCTTATTATTGTTGTTATTCTTATTATTGCTATTATCTTTGTTGTTCGTATGAACCGTATTGCTGCTATTACTATTCTTGTTGCTATCATTGTTGTTATCATTAGTGTAACTATTTTTTATTCTTGTTATTATCACTGTTGTTATGATTGTAACCATTTTTCTTGTATGTCGGGGTTCTATGGGGCTTATATAGGGATTATGGAAAAGAAAATGGAAACTACTATAGTATACTGGGATTTTTAGTATCAATCGTAGGGCAGTGAGATGAGCGAGCAGATTTTGAGGAATCTGATTGAATGTCAGTACAGGGGGGGTTGCATCACCTACCCTTGAACTTTGCCATCTCAAAAATTGTAATGTAGACCCATCATTAATGAACACCCTTCTTCCAAGGGCCCTAATGTAAGAATCCCTATTATAATGAGGGGAGTGGGTTTGTGAATCACGGGTCTGGATCAGTAAGGTATTGATGCATCCTACACAAATCCGTGCCTTCAGTGCCTGTGATTGGTTTTGATGTGGACTTTTTGGAATATGTAGAGTGCCTTTTTGGGTGTCCTTCTAGAACTATGTTTTTTCAATCGTGGTGGGCATCCGCCTCGTCTTTGCTGGCTATTCTGTGGGGTTCTTTCAAAAAGCGCGCGCCGCATGCTTCGAAAGCTTGGAACATGGGTCCCTTACCAGCACATTCAAAGGGGCTTTTGTACGAGTGGCATTGTTTGAGTTTTGAGTAGCCAATTCTCTGCTGAGATGTATTGCTATTCTGCATCACGGTGTCCCCAGACGCCAGAGTTAGTAATAAGATGCTTGTGTCAGGGATATTTGGCACGTGTGATCTTCCCGAATCACGCAGCACTACACTCGAAGTTTATTCTGCGGCATGCTAGCCCTACACCACTTTTAGCTCCCTGTATCATCGATTCTCCCAGATAGGGGCAAACAAGAAAACAAACATTTAGCTCTTGCCGTCTGCTATGGAGCGGATGACGCGGACTCCGCGCATGGCACGCACCATCAAGCCGGGAGAAGGGGTGCCTGGCTTGAGGTTCTTCTGTTTTCCTTTTTCAGGATTCAATTCAGTTAAAGTCCAGTTAGGCCCCAGCCTGGTAAGAATGGTAAAATGGGAATAGACAATGGGGAAGGGTTTAGGGTTTAGGGTTTTTCCCCAAGTGTTTGGTAAAATTGGAATGCACGGGTGCCTCATTGTAATTGCTTGCATCCCCTGTGGTCAATATTGGTGGGTTGGGCGTGTAATCTGAGGGTTAAGGTTTTGGGTTTATATGAGCTGTGGTCTAACCTCCTTAAAGGGGGATATATATGGTTTTGTGTTTAGGGGGTTACATAAGGGATTATATAGGGCGAGAGTGATAGGGGAGTATATAGGGGGGATACTAGGAGTTTAGGCTATGGCTCATATAGGGTTCTTGGACCGGGGCCTCGGAGTTTACAGGCAAGAGGTCGGCATAATCATAGGATGCTACATGAAAAATCGAGTCCAGGGTTTAGGCTTTCGGGGTAGTCATAGGATTCTATATGAAAAAGGGTAAGATTATGACTCTAAACTCTAAACCCTAAATACTAAAAAGGATGAAGCCCCAGCACTGGCCAACTTCAGAACCCTGAGCCCTGAACCTTCAAAGAACCCCCCAGCCCGCAAGCAAAAGGTCTCCGGGTTTGAGTTGACCCTACAGGTTTAGGGTTTAGGGCTTTAGGGAAGTTCTTTGGGAAATGCCTTTCATTTTTCGAATCAAGGCAGCCAGTTCGCTCGGATTTTCCTGGTTTCAGTTAAGCGGTAGAGATCAAGATTATGTTATCAAAGGCCCACACCCTAAGCCGCGGGGATTTCCTGTTCGCATCAAACAGTAGTTTCCTGAAAGCAGGGGACCCCAATATAGATCCCAAACCCTGAAACCCTAAACCCTAAACAGTATGGGGTACTTTCCCAAGAAAGGGGGATCCCAATGTAGGGTGTTGCCAAGTGTGGTCATGAAGCCCTACAAGCTCAAAGCGGCCGTTCAACCTCAAACAAAAATTTGTGGGTCCAACTTTTCCATGCTAACTGCATGCCTGTGCTTCAGGATTATCTTACTGGTGGCTGGTAGAGAATACGTGGATATAATCCTCAGTCCCCATATAATATTCTCCCCAATTCCCGACTTACCCCCAGCAAGATTATGAACATTTGAAAGTTGCTTTGTATTTGGATCCCGATGATAGATTCCTTCACCTGGTCGTACTACGAGTAGTCACATGGGGCTTCCCTTTAGAGTTTAGGATTTAGGGTTTAGAGTTTAGGGTCTAGGGTTTAGGGTTTAGGAGTTATGTTTTAGGGGTCCCTTTAAACAGGTTTTTGGGAGTACATGTCTGGTGTAGGGTTTCCCAAGCTTGGGGTCCTTTCTTGTCGGGTCCCTATGATCAGGATGACAGTATATGCGGTCTATATTGGGACCCCTTATTGAGGGAAACTACAATGTGTTGTACAAAGCTTCCAGAACTGTTGGACAGTCGCTACGACTTGTATTGTAGCCTTCAACCAGGCGAGTGCTGCCACACGTGGGCATGATCAGTGTTAACCACAACAATGCCAATTAGGTATTGCAGTCCTGACAAAGGAGTCCCCTAAACAGGACACCATGATGAGAACCGCTGACCTTACTCTAAACCCTAAACCTTCAATGTCGCGATACTCCTTGAATGCTGAAGTGCCCTTAGACCCTAGACCCCGAACCCTAAACACGATTTGTGTTTTTGCTTTCATGGTAAGACAGTCGCTGCTTATCTGAGGTTCTGGCATGGAAGGCTCGTCGGGCTTTGGTGATTTACGGCTCAGGGTTTAGGGCTTAGGGTTTAAGGTTGTTGATGCAGGAAACCTGGCAGCAAGCCAGGGTGCCTACATGCTCCCAAACTCACACGGAACCCAAACCACTGTCCTTTTTTACAGGGAACCTCATCATGATGTGATTCTATACCGTGTGGCTGCTGGACGTGCAGTTGGCGGGATGACGTGGGGAGCTTGTGGGGACTCAGGGAGCCCGATACCCCCCAATATCCCCCAATTGAGGATTTTACTTGAACATGAAGAATGGAGAAGAAACCAGAATATTACGTGAAAGCTGAGTTTTGTGAAGGGTATGAGAACAATCACGCCATAAGTGGGTTATTTGAGGGATGTCAGTATCCATGTGGATTGGGCCTTCTGGGAAGCTTCCCATGGCATGGCTTGCCTTGTTGGTGCAAAGATGCAGAGGTGACTTCGCCTAGAGAGCATCACAAGCAGACAGCGCAGGCACCAGAACTGTAAGCCCTGGGCAATGCTGTAAGAGTGCAGCCCACAACCCACAAACTTCATCGCCTCATCCTCGTCTGACAGGTTGGGGGCTTCAGACTCTTGTGCAGGCTGTGTTGAGGAGGTAGGGAGTGTAGCTGAAGCGGCATTCGGATCAACACAGGGTGCCCAAACTCTCAGCTTGAACCCTGAACCCTACACCCTGAAACCTAAACCCCAAATCCTTAAGACCGCAGCAGGCTGCAATTCAAGCACCAAGGAAATGTAGAGTAGGCGCTGGTGGGGTGCGGACTAGCGCGTGCCGGAGCACCAAACTCTGAAATACTGTGACCAGGAGGTAATTTGGAATAGTTTTCAACTGCCCCTAAAGGCATTGTAGGAGAGCCTATTCACCATGTAGGAGAGCCTGTGAAGTACGACCCAGATGAACTCCAAGGCTGCACTCCCTGTGGTGTTTAAAGGAATCACCCATTTCTCGAAGGTCTCTATATGGGTGGTTGTCAACATTTTGGTGCTTTTTTGGATCCCCATTATAATACGGCACCTAATATTTAGGGTACCCAAAAGGGATCATAATTTTGACAACCACCCTTTTGTTATTGTTGCCGTTCTCAGGCCTACAGAGACCGTCAGAATCAGGACACGTCTGTTCAGTTGGGAGTTGAAGTGTACAGTTGAGGGTTTAGAGTTGAGGCTTTCAAAACCTCGGTTTTTGGGACGGGGGGATTGGGTTACGTATTACATAGCCCCTGTTTGGCAACTATCTGTCTAGGGTGTACTCGCGTCGAGACCTCTTGCGTGACGGT